AAAATCATCTGGCAAAAAAGGGAGACCGGGGATGGGTGTGGGTAAGGGAGAGAGTGACATTTTAACACAACACTCAATTTTAAAAGGTTTTATTTATACTTCCCCTTCTCTTTCTCAGATTATATGAGCATTACAGGACTGGAGAAGGGTTATCACAGCACCCCTTGCAAATTCCAGTTTACAGGAATGAAAACATATGGGCCAACAAAATAAGGTCTCGGCTCTCCATAAGCTATTTCTCTATTCTTATTTTATCTCTTTCCCCCTTCTCAATGTTAGCTACCTTTATCCAGAGAGGGATCATCAAGACTGTTGGCATGCTGGCTGACATGGTCATCTCACTAGTATCCTGTGAAGAACCATCAAGGATGCTTTTTATCGTTCCAACCATTAACACCACTGAGGTAACAAGACCTAACATCAAGGGTGAAGACAAGTCACCACTCCCCCCTAGTCAGTGATATGTCACACACTTCCTTGGAAGGCCTGGGCCAAACGACAAAGCTTTGCACAAGAAACTCGGGAACTGTGTTGGAGAAAAGCAGACACTGAGTGGGCTTAAGGCTCCTTGTGCATGGAAGGATCCACTATCCCTGCAGACAGCAACAAGGCAGGACACTTGGCACATCAGGGCACTGCTCTGATTTTTACCTTTCATTCAACCTCCCCGTAACTGCTCCAAAAGAACAGAGCTTTGGGTGTGCTTCATTAAAAACACAGTAAAGGCAGTTTAAGAGCCACTGAATTCTTTATGGTCAGTTTAATAAACTCATCATACCACAAAAAAAATCAGTTTATAAGGCCATTTATCACGTGTACTACACAGTAAACAAGACCTTGCCCACAGCTCCCCCAAGTCAGTCCCAAGGATGACTGGGAATGTGATACCTCAGACTCAGCAGAGACATTAGAATAAACATTTCCAATAAGGGCTCAAGCTAGCCCCTTCGGTTTCCTCCCTAGAAAAGGCTCAATCTATAGCAAAAGGTGCTTAGAAAACAGAAGTCACTAGAAATGACAAAAGGGGCAACAGCATTTTCTACACATTAAAAGCAAAGGGATCACTGGCCAGTCCTGGCATTTCCTCTGTATGATAAGGGAGGAAGCCAGCCTTCTAACCCAGCTATCTGGGCACATGGCAGATGGCTAGGAGCCTGAACACTGCATTTCATGTGGATAAAGCTGAAGAGAGAATGGACAAGCTTTTCTTTACGGGAAGGTGTTTTAATTAACTGGCTTAACGGATTAAGCAAACAGCTGCTCAACAGCCAAGAAGAATCCTTTGATTTTTGTAACTCCCTCTTCGTAACCCCTTTGGGCTAAGATGATTTTACCTGTGTGAAGTACTCAACAGTTCTTGACCTTCATGAAAGTGGACAGAGGAAAACCACAACTTTCCCATTTTTTCTAATCACATGGGTTATAGCAAGTACAGATTAAAACCTATTCTGGCTTACCTAGAACACCAGGAAAGACACCCTGGGAATTAGGGCACAGCAATTCTTTATACAACAGAACTAGGAGGGACCCCCCTGGCGGTTCAGTGGTTAAGACGCCGCGCTTCCACTGCAGGGGGCGTGGGTTTGATCCGTGGTCGGGGAACTAGGATCCTGCATGCCACATGGCACAGCCAAAAAAAAAAGAGAGAGAGAGAGAGAGAAAGAACCAGGAGACAATTGTATTTAACCTTTTCTAGGTGGTTTTGCCACAAATTCATACAAAACAAGAACCCAAATTCTCTTTCTTCACTGCCTATGACATGACTAGAAGTTCTGTGCTGCTGCCCAATCCAGTATGACAAGGGGCCAGAGATCCTCATCAATTTGGAAAGAGGCACATGGGGGAAGAAATAGGGCCTTGGCCTCTGAAAGGGCATCAGGCAAACACGCAGCCCTTAGTAGTTGTGTCGGGTTGTTTCTGTTCACCTTCCATGACTACGTGAGGAAGAGGGGTGTCTGACCATCTGAAATCCTCACCTTATCACGAAAGTTTAAGACAGTGACAAGAAGTTCTTCAAACAAGCAAACAGTACTCTGGGCTCTGAAGACCAGAATGTTTTTTTAAAGGGAAAAAATGTTCCAAAGCAAAGCGAAAAGTGTAGTGCTTCAAAGACCCTGCCCCTGAACATTCTCTTTCAATGCTCTAGAACGTAAGCCATATTCTACGGTAAGGCTTTTAAAATAAAGGTGGGAAGAGAATCTGGCACTGCCATTTGATCCATTCTTTGGGTGTGATTTTGATGTCCCCTAGTTATAAACTTCCTGGTTTCTGATGTGATCTGCAGAAAAAGGCGGTATAAACCTGAAATGGATGAAGACAAGGCTAAATAAAAAGAGGGATGAGAAAAAGTAACAAGGACTAGTCACACCTCTATCGACTAACTCTGATGATCAGCCTTGGTAGTAATGGTTAGCTGATGCCTGTTTGAATCCCATCAGATTCTTGAAGTAGGCTGTGTTAAACCATGTACTAAACAATACTTATTTGTCCCAGATTTCTACTCATTCCCAATAACAGTATCTATATACACTTGTGTTTCCCCAAGTGCTTGGTTAAGTAATGATATCTGTGATATGACTGGACCCTAGATTTATATTACAGTTTCAAGAAGAGACAACCAGTGTGTGTAATGTTTTGTCCTCTAGAAAGTAGAGGTCCTAGAGAGATCACAGGAGTCTTCCCTCTCCAAAATAAATCTGTAACTTAACTGCATTTATCCTGAAATAACTGCATAGCAAAGTGATATATATATATATTTAAATGCCATATTAACTGACATTTTAAGTTGCAGTGGCTTCATGCAAAGCCCAAATAAAAGACTGGCCATTAAGTTCATTGCTTTAAGTTTGTGACTTCTGCAAACCCTACATCACTAAATAGTAACTGCAGTGCAAAAGCTCTCTGGTTCTAATGGGGTTCTATGGTGAGGACCTAGATGTGCAGGAAAGGTTAGTAATGTATTTTATTTTACAGAACTAATTACTCAGTTACCACAATCTTTTTTACTTCAACTTGTACATGCTAAATGCAGTCCCTGCATCTCTACCTGGTTCTTTTCACTTTTTTCTATTCTTTAAAAAATTAAAATAAAACCTTGGAATATTTCAAGGGCTTAAGGCTCTCAGATGCTGAGAGTGACCAAAGATAACTTAAGACATGAAAACAAAACTTCACAAACAATAGCATTGCTTACATCCTCCACTACATGTATCTGCACAAAAATACCACAGCTGATGACAAGATGCCCAGGAGAATTTGGACTGAAAATTTTTACCAATAAAAGGAGTGATTTCAAAAATAGAGATGTACAAAACTATTTTCACACAATGTTTTTCCATTCTGTTCCCAGTCCTTCCCCTATAATACTTGATGGCTACTAAAAGACAAGCTGATCTTGGGTATAAAAAAAGTCAAAAGTTCTCTTCACTTAAGCTTTGGTCAACAGAAGAAAGCAAGAACTTTAACATGGTGATTTTCAGATTTGCTCTTTGGTCAAGCAGTATAAAGCTCGCTGAAAGAAATCCCCTTACTTGGTATGAAAACAGAGTCAAAACAGAGGATACCAGTTTAGCAAAAAATAAGTGTTCAGAATTTCTCAGGGGAAAAATAAGGGGTAATGGAAGGAGATGGAGCCCCTAAAAGCCCCAGATGCCAGGTTAGAACTGCATTAGGACATCAAGAATAAAAGAGAAATATCACTCAGGGTGATTTTTTTTTTTTTTTTTTTTTTTTTTTTTTTTTGTGGTGTTGCCCCCCCC